GAAAGTATTTGGAAGAGATGCTAAATCAAATGATGGAGTTGAGGCCAGAATTATTTCTACTAGGGATCACAAAAGAAAAACATGGGAAAGGTGGACTATATTTAATGCTGCATATCTTAACGGTGGCAAGACTGGCTTTTGCACAGAAATGGAAAAATAAGGAGACTCCCTTGGAACAAAAAATAATGAATAAGATACTGACATGTGTAGAAATGGACAGACTGACTCTAGAGCTCAAAGACAAGGGTGAGACGGAATATTACGAAATCTGTGACAAATGGTACCAATGGTTAGAAATGAAAAGAAAAGGCCGGGACAGAAAAACACAGGCAAGTAAAGAATTGGAAAATACGGTATTAAGAATGCCTGATATGTAGAAATTGGATATGTATTTGTATGATTAGTAATTATATAAAAGAAAGGTTCAACAGACGGGTAACTTGACTGACTATATACACCTATGGAATGGATATAAATGTAATTGTTATAAGATCTAATCACTATATGGAAATGTTTATGCCAGAAAGGTTGTACTATGTCCAATGTTTTTAATGTTTATCTAATAAAAAACTTTATTTAAAAAAATGAATATAAAAAATATTGCAGCAATGGGTTCACTGTCCCGTTGCTGGGAGGGCATGGCCATGACTTAGTCAGCCTCCTGCACCATGGTGCTGGGTCAGCGTTTTTTACTCTCCCCAGGCCTCGGAGGTTTTTTTTGAGCCTCCAGGAGGGTGAAAACTGCTTCCCCCGGGCTCAGGAGGCTGGAAACAGACCCGTTTTTGGACTTCTGGAACTTCAGGTAGGCCCATTTCCCCCACCCCACCAGGCCTCTGTGCAGGTCCTGCAGTTACCTAATATGATGAATGGGCTGCATGGAGACTCCTGGGTGTGGTGTGGTGGGAGGGGCAGGGTGTGGTGGGCATGGCCAGCCAGGAGTGGGATTTGGGGGCTTGCAGAATTTTTGCTAGAGGATCGCCCAAACCTATGCGAACCCCCAGCAGCCCACCCATGTACTGAGGTAACCCAGCAATTCATCTGAGTAATCCAATACTGATTATAAAAGAAAGCTTGAGGGAAGAGAGTTCCAAAGCCCCCTCTTTCACCCCATCAAGGTTCATCTCAAAGAGTACTTAAGTGACTTATCACATCCTTTTATGGCCTGGCTAGCAAAGGAAATGTTTTGGATATGTAAGATCTGAATGAATAAGAGTGAATGTGAGCTATTACTCGTAGGATGATAACGAAGCCTCATATTTACAATTATAAAATGTGATGATGATAAAACAGGTCATTGTATGATTAACCCAATTTCTGCAATTTCCCAACACTGCAGGATATACATCCTCATGCTACATAACTAAGCTCCATTTCATCTTGAATAAAACAAATTATTAATGTATCTTAAATAGAAAACTATCTTTGGATAGATTTTTATTCCAGAAGTACTTTATTAAAATAAATTTTATAACAATAAAAAAATCCAATTTAAATTTTAAAAATCAGATTTAGGTCTACCCTGAGGGAAACCAAGTCATACTGATCTGGCAATAGGAACTATACATAAAATGATAAGAATTTCCTGGGTATTCTACCAGGTAAGTTATGAGTTCAGACCACAATTCCCAGGATCCTCATATGAGTTAAGACTGTCCCTGCAAGAGGTTACTGAAATGACAGCCATGTCCCATTATTACTGTACCTCCTACATATAGGCAGGGGTGGGATTCAGCCAGTTCGGACTGGTTTGGGCGAACTGGTAGCTCCAATGATCAGCTGAGAACAAACCATTTTGATCCCACAATCAGGTGGGCCCTCCCTCTCTCGTGTTTTACCTACCTATATTCTCTCAGGTGATTAGCGTGGCAGAGCGGATTGCCACGCCTCAGCTGTTTTGCTCCCCAAGAAGTAACGTGGAAGGTAGGTTTTGGTAAAACTGCGCATGCAGCAAAACACACGATTACTGAACCGGTTGCTAAACCAGCAGGATCCCATCACTGTATGTAGGGTACAGTACTAATGGGGCATGGCTGTCATTTCAATAGCCTCTTGAAGGGACAGGACAGTCTTAACTCAGAGAGAACTTTTTAAGGTTTGCCCTCCAAAACTGCTATGGGGGGAGCATTAAAGCCTATTTAAACTAGTACTCTTTGGAATCTGGAGACAGTTATTTAACGTGAACATCTCCGTGATTAAAAATGGGGGCTTGACTGCTCAGAAAAAAACTTTATTGAGTAAAGCAGCCTGGTTCTGTTGGACTTCTAGTTAAAGGTAAAGGTTCCCCCCACATATATAGCACATATGTCATTCCTGAATCTAGGGGCGGTGCTCATCTCCGTTTCAAAGCTGAAGAGCCAGCGCTGTCCAAAGATGTCTCCATGGTCATGTGGCCGGCATGACTAGATGCCGAAGGAGCACAGAACGCTGTTACCTTCCCACCNACAGTATATCACAGGAGTACACCCCTCACATTTTGTAAATATTTAAGTACATCTTTTCATGTGACAACACTGAAGAAATGACACTTGGCTACAATGTAAAGTAGTGAGTATACAGCTTGTATAACAGTGTAAATGTGCTGACCCCTCAAAATAATGCAACACACAGCTATTAATGTCTAAGCTGCTGGCAACAAAAGTGAGTACACCTCTAAATGATAATATCCAAAGGTGTACTCACTTCTGTAATATACTGTATATGTGTCTCTTCCCCCCCTTTCTCTCCCTCCCTCTTTCCCCTTTCCCACCCTCCCTCTCTTCCCCTCCTTCCCTCCCTCTCTCTTTCTTTCCCTCATTCACCCCTTTCTGTCTCTTTCCCTCCCTCTGTCTCCCCCGCTTTTCCCTCTGCTGGGTGATGGGATCTGGCATCTGGAGGTCGATGAGCCCAGGAGCAGCTCACCAAAGACCAGCAGGGAGACTGGATCATCACAACATTGGCGGCTCTGCAGGAAAAGCAACTGACATCCTGGAGGCGAGAGCGAGCTAATGATGATGCTCTGAGAAGAGGGGGACCCCATCTTCCCCATTGGGAAGCACGATGAATTTCACTGTGCAGTGGGCAGGCCATGTAGGCAGCAACAGCAAATGAACCGCGCCGAAAGCAGAATGCTGTTTCGGCAAGTGAATGGGAGCTTTGCTTCCGCAATGGCCATCACCACTCCCACAACAGGGCGACAACTCTTTCATCCCTCTGCTACAACAGGGTGCCAGGAGCCACAGCAGAAGGATGAAAAAGCCATATGCAGCTCTGGAGCCGCAGGTTGCTAACACCCGACTTAGAACAATTGATATTGTTATGAAGGCAAAGAGTGGCCACACTAAATATTGATTTGATTTGGACTTTTTTTCTGTTCATTTACTTTCCGTTTTGTTAATGGTTAAAAGTGAACTATATACACATACATTCGTACTGCAAATTGTCAGACATGAGGTCCTGTAAGATCCAGGACAACAATCTTAGGTTGCCACATAGAGGACTTTGGCATGCTTAAAGGAGACTCCCCTCCACTTAATGTTCCACAAGGAGTTAGATCACAATGAGTACTGTGGCGTGTTCACCCATTTCAGAATCTTGTTACATTTGCTTTCCAACACTGATTTTCTTAGAATACTTCATTCACTTGCTTGATGCCTGAAGAGTGTTAACTTTTTATAGAATCATAGGGCTTAAAAGGACTTTGGAAGTCTACTAGTCCAACCCTCTGCCCAAGGGATTTTATTGCATCCCAGACAAAATGGCTGTCTAATCTTTTCTTGAAAACCTCCAGCAATGGAGCACCCACAACTTATGTCAATCAAATAACTGCCCTATGCCACTCTTAAGGATTCTACTATAGGTCCCATAAAGGCCTCCATCATACTATACCCCCAATTTTACAATGGTTCAGATTGGAACTAGAAGGAAGTGGAAATCACACCACTCAAATTCCATGAGAAGTCTCTTCTCTTACAGATTTCTCCTTCAAACAGCTGCAGTTTTATCCCAATCAGTCATCTCTAATAATTACTGCCACATAAAGCCAGCATGTGTAGTATTGAGAAACAGCTTTACACAAGTTCTATCTGTTATGTAGGATATGCATAGACCATGATTGTCATCTGTATTTGGGGTTGCTTACCTGAGTATTGACACAAATTGCCCTCCTTTCCCCTCATACTTTTAAATAATGTACATGTTCTAGCCTAGGCTTCCCCAAATCCCAAAGCAGACTTATTGTCCCGACAAAACCCCTTTTTATTAAGTTACTATGAATTCCTCTCATTCACATCCAGCAAAGTCTTTCAAAGGTGAATCACAGACCTTATCTGGCTTGGAGAGCTGCCAGGCCGATATCTTCAAAATGCAAACTGTACTTGGCAAGGAGTCTTTGAGAGTCACGAACCAATTAAGTGAACTAATTGTCTCCTGAAAACTCCACTCCCCTTTCGCTCCTCTTTATTCCCTGTGGGAGGGGCCATCCACCGACCACTCCCTAGCCGGCCCTTGTTCCTTAGCTGTTCCCTTCTTCTGGCAGCTCTGAGCATGCACACATCAGGAACAGGCTTCAGTTGTTCTGCCTCACTGATCTCTCACTCCAAAGGCAGTTGATAACTGTTGGATGGCTCTTGTCCTATCTCTGCCTCTGATACAGAGCCCTCATCAGAACCTTCCCCAGACTCCAGGACTGGCCTATGTTCCTCCCCAACCTCCTCACTGTCTGAGTCTGACACTAACTCCGCTGTTGGGTCACACTACAGGAATACATGTAGGAAATAATGGCTTCCCTCAATGCCACCATTAAATCCTTGGTATTACAAGGCTCCAAACGACACTTTTGTGTAAATGACAAAAGCTACATGTGTGAATGCAGAACTGATCACAGTTACAAGTAAACAATCAGACCTTTTTATTCGGTGTAAAACATGTAATTCCTGGGTTACATTGCTGGTACCTTGACAAGGAATGGGAATTCTTTTTCTAGGAACCGCCCCACTTTGGGGGGGATTATTAAGGTGTTTTTTCTTAATGGCCATTTCAGAACAAGTGCTTGTGTGCATCTGCATAATCCAGCATCTAAGACAGGCTTCTCTCCAACATCTGAAAGATTTTTGAGAAAAAAATATGGTGCTTTCCACTCATTCATATTGAGGTGGTCAGTTATCTGTGTTTGAATCAGGCAACTGAAGCTGTGGGTCCTGATTTATGGCATTCACAGTAACACATTCTTTATCCTATTTCTGTAATACAGAGTTTGAAGGAGAACTGTAGATATTTGAGCTGGTTTACTTCAGTAACTGAAGAAGAAACAGTAGAAGTAACTGAAGAAGAAACTGTACAATTGGTGTTTTGTTTTTTTTACACGCCGCATAGAACAGAAGAAATCTGACATATTTTCAGATCCAGTACTGGATCTCTGGAAGTGGTGTTTTATCTCTCGGGTATTACCCTGCAATATCCCACCATATAGGTAGTTATACCCCTTCTCCAGAATTTTATGTGGTTTATAGTTCAGCCCCAATGATCAGCTTGGTCCTTTTATCTTTCACTGCATACATAACATTGTCATCAAGCTTTGAGTCGCATCTTAAAAGCCTTTTGAGATTATAAATTAAGGGACCAGGTTATCTATACAGCTGTTAGGACCATACTACTTATGCAACCAATTGTTTGGGAGTTGGGAATGTTCCTGGACATCTGGAATCCCCCCCCCCATCCCTCTGAATAGGCCCCCATCAGGCTCAGGCAATAGACTGGCCAGTTTTTTCTACTACATAATCAGCCTATTTTGTTCTGGTCACTCAAATTCATAAATTACTTGCAGAATCTAATTAGGCCTAAGACCAGCAGGCCCACAACGGTGTTTTGCTGTGGAACAGGAGAATGGGAGACAGCTACGAGCCCTGATTTTACCTGTTAATGATAGTTCCTTTGAAGCATATGCAACCTCTGCCGTTTTGTAAGAGGTGAACAACTAGCAGGATAAGTCGTGATCCAGCTTGTGCTGATGAGAAAATAACTGAACCACTCCAAGAAAGTTGCTGGTGGTGGAAGAATTGGCCTTCCAGGAAGAAGGAGCTTCCAACTCCTACAGGTTGACGGTGCTGCATTGTATCTGCAAGGGAGATGATGAAGAACCTCTGCCCCCAGCATTCTTATGTAAAAGTATTACTCGGCATCATGTCTGTCTTATGCATGCCAAAATTATCTTTTCTACTCCAGTGTGATTCAGCGCTATCCGGTACTAAAAACTGTAAAATATATATCACAAAAATTGTAAGAAAAGGAAGGGAAGTAGTCTCCTTTCTTCCACTTTCCTATCCTTGGTTTTGCAAGAGATAGAAAAAAGTTGGTACAGTGAAGCACTGATTAAGAATGCAGATCTGTTACTTAACCGTGAAGTTTAGTACTTTCATCCATAAACTATAGTCTGATTATACTGGGAAGGCCGTATAATGTAGGACTGTAGTCACATTTTCCCACTGGTGAAGTTGATACAGAATTAGGCCCATTTATAATGTCTTCCCTTCCCTCCTGACCATGAGCAATGACAATTTGCAAATTTCTAGGACAGGAATGCCATTTTCTTTGCCAAGAGCGATCATCTATCATCTTTGTTCTTTACTAGTAGCTTACTGATTGTTGCATTTTATCTTGGAACCTGTGCCAGCTGGCTCCTGGTTCAGGGGAAGGCTGGACTGGGACTCCTTGAAGCTGTCTTCTGAGCTACCCACTGTAACAAACAGGGTGGCTTCCAAAGCGGCCAGATCCTCAGAGCCAGTCTTCAACTTGGTGCGCATTAGTGTAGCATAAATGCCATAGCGTAATTTCTGCAGAAAGCAAGAAACAACAGGTTTGGTGCCCCACTTGGTTGATGTGTTAATTAACAGCTACGGACTAAAGAAAAGGCAAGGAGTAACCCATAATGAGTAATCTGAATAAGATAACATTACGTTTATGTTCTAGGGATAACATGGGCATTGGAGGTAACATGGTGACTTCTGGATGTTTTGGACTACAATGTCTCACAACTGACCATGCTGATTTCAGATTATGAGAACGGAATATCTGGAGGATACAGATTCGATTATAAATGTGTTGCTTTAAATCATAAAATCTTATTTTATTCCCATTAAATCAACAAAAGGGTTACCATCAGGGGTGAAATTCAGCAGGTTCTGGAGAACCGGTAGCAGAAATTTTCAGTAGTTTGGAGAACTGCCAAATACTTCCTCTGGCTGGCCCCAAAGTGGGGTGGGAATGGAGATTTAGCAGGATCCTTCCCCTGCCATGCCCACAGAACCGGTAGTAAAAAAAATGAATTTCACCAACAGTTACCATGTTTCCCCCAAAATAAGACCCGGTCTTATTTTTATAAGACTCAGGCTTATTTTGGGGGAGATCTTTCTTTTTTCATCACAAGGCCTGGCCAATCCGGGTGCCCTGCCTCCCCATGTGCACACAGGAGGTGCCGACCACGTGGAGGCTACCTACAGCAAGAGGTAGAGGGAGGCAGGCGCCCAAAAAGCATCGGCCTGTGCACCTCTGATCAGCTGCAGGCCATGATGGAGAGCATGGCTGGTGCACCGCCATGAGATGAGAGCGAGAGAACAATCTGATCCAACCTCTGTGTGTATGTGTGTGTGTCAGTGGTGAGTTCTGGCCGGTACGCCCAGGTACAGGCATACCGGTGCCTGCTGGGAGCAGTAGGCACCGTATCGGAACCCAACCGGGCCATTTGCGCACTCACACACAGCATATGGCGCCTGTGCGAGGCTCTGCTAAGCAGCGTGGTGGATGCCTAGCCCTGTCGCAGTGTACCGGTTGCGACGGGATCTGGAATCCACCATTGGTGTGTGTGTATGTGTGTGTGTGTGTGTGTGAGAGAGAGAGAGAGAGAGAGAG